TTTTTTTTTTTTTCGATATTTCCGACTGAGATACGGAATTTCGGAAGTCGGAAGTGTCAGAGAGACAGAGAGCGGATGTGCCGGTGCGGTTTTTTGCTTTTCCCACCCGCCTCGAACCCTCGAACCCTGTGCGAAGAAAGCAGCTTTCCAGCAGTCGTCTGAACCCCATCCTGGCGCCTCTTCGACTCCGCCTTCTACCATCAACACATCTCTCCAGCGCTTCACTGCGGTTCGAGGAAAGACACAATGAGGCCGCCCAAGAGGTCGCCGTTCCTCCACGCGCGTCACACCGAGCTGCTCGAGGTGTATCGCCATCTGTATCCAGACTCGCCGCTACTGCCCTCCAACGCCTCGTCTCGCGCGCACCGACACACGGCGCTCTCGCTCGTCCAGCTGTGGATCAACCGCTCCGCATGCCCGTTCGCCGTCGAAACCACCGCGTTGCTCGTGCAGAGCGTCATTTTGGATGAACACATGCAGCAGATCGCCGCACAGTCGCATGCGCCGGCCGCGACGTCGTCGCTGCACTATGCGCTCGAACAGATGGGCGGCGGTGCCGAGCTGGGTGTCCGGCTCAACTACAGTCTGGCGCTCATGCGGTTCGTCAACAGCGTGGTCGACTCGCATCAGACGGGTGGATTCGCGCAGTCGATCGCGGCCATTGCGGCGCGCATAGGGTTGCCGCAGTGGTTCGTCGAGATCCGCCATGCGACCACACACGAGGAGCTGCCCAGCATCAGCGTCTGCCGCCACGCTGCACGTGCCGCACTCGCCTGGCTGCACACGCACTTTTGGGCGCCGCAGCTCTTCGATACCCACCACGGACCCCGAGCTGCGCGCGCAGATGCAAGTGGCTCTCGCCAACTAGCTGATGTGGAATTCGGCGTGTCGACAGAACCGACATCGTCGAGCCAAGAGGAAGAGAAGCGCCGCAGCGAACGCACCAAGGCACTGCGCGAGCTGCGTGTCACGCTCAAAGACTACCGGGAGCTCGCCAAGAAGGTGGCGCGAGATCGCAGTCTGGCCAACGCAGCCAAGGCGGACATGCGCCGGCTGTTCAAGCAGCTCGCCATGTTTGTCTCGCGCATTCGCACGCTCGAGCCCGAGTTCGGTGCGCAGCTCATCGAGCGCGCGCGCGCCACCAAGGGCAAGGATGAAGAGGCGGATGTGCGGCAGGGCGCGCAGGACCCGGACGACGTGGACGAGTGCACGAAATCGGCGCTGGCTGATCTGGTCAACCAGCTGCTGCAGCCAGGCGGCCTCGTGCCTCGCAGCCGATCCAAGCGCGTGTCGGCCTCGGCGAGTGGCAAGGCCATGGTGCTGCCGGACGAGGTGGTGGCAGTGTGGGCGCCGTTGCTCGCGTATATGCGCGAGACGTACGGCCGTATCTTTGGACAGATCCTCGCCGAGGAGCTGGTGGACGTAGCCTTTCGCCGCCCCGCCCTCCCCGATGACGACGACACGGACGCCGAACAAGATGCATCGGCAGACGATCCGAGCTGGCAGGGCTGGAAGGCGGCTGCGATGTCGTACGCGAGCTATGGCAAGACCGCCGAGGCGTGGCTGCGGTACCTCATCACCACGACTCCTGTTGCCAGTGGCGCTGCGACCTCGAACGCGCAAGCACCGGTGGGGCCGCTGGTGTCCGATGTCGAAGTGGCCGAGCTGTGTCTGCCGCTGCAGCTGCCCGCTTCGACGGGGCTGCTCGACCTGATCGCCGAGCGCAACCACGAGCTCGGGGCGCGCATCGCTCCGCTGATCGCCGTGCTCCGCGTATCGGCCTTTGTCACCACCACCGAGCTCGATGCCAACCCGGGCCAGGGTGACTTTACCTCCGAGCTTGATGTGATGCAGACGCGGCTCGATGGCATGCAGACGCTGTTTGCCGTCGATGAGCGGGTGGCCGATGTCAGCATGGATGACACTCGGCAGACCAGCACGAACCACGTCAATGGTTCAGCTGCCAGTGTTATGCCGCAGGGCTGGTCGGCAGCTCCGTCCAGCTGGGAACCTACGCCGTTCGGCTGTCTCAACGGACGCATCCCGAACCTCGTGCTCGAAATCTAGCCACCAAGCAATGCCATGCCACCATCTGTCAATCGCAGTGTTGCTCCGAGTGAAATCGGGATTTGTTGATCCCGATGAATGTCGACGTGACCCGATGTGGAGGAACGATCGGCTTGAAAAAAAGGAGGCGGTTGTAGATGTTTGGCATGCAGAGCCGCATCGAGCGTGCATGTTTGATCGGCTTACTGGCGGGGGTCTCTGACTGATCACCGTCGTTGCGCCCTAGCCGACGCGCTGGGAAGGGCAGAACTTTAGCGGTGTGTGGTGTGGAGGCACAGCGTGACGCGTCGGTGGTTGTGCGCTCAGACCATCTTTGCTTTTGGGCAGCGAGCGGGTTTGGGACGATGCCGCCTGGCCACGGCGATGGGGCGACGGAGGAAGCTTCCTAAATTGGAATGTCGCTTCATTCCACAAAAGCCAAGCTGCTCGATTCCAGCTTCGGCAGGCCGGCTTGGATGGCACTCATGGACAGCTCTTTTCCTCGCGGGAAAACTGCCCGTCCCAGTTGGGCTGCAATCGAGCAGCCCGCTGTCATCCCACAGCGCAGAGAGGGCGAGGGGGGCGAGAGCAATGCACACCGTGACAACTTGGATGCAGTTCGTCAGCCGGGCCACCTTGCATAGCCCTAAAGCCTCCAACCCCCCCTTCTACACATCGAGGCTTCTGTATACCTTACATCCATCTCTCTCCATAGAACCTCTTTTCCACCCATCTTTCCATTGACGTAAACATGACCGAGGTTACATCCAAGGACTCTGCCGATGTTGGCTCGATCGAGTCGTCGGTCAAGGACGACAAGCGCGATGCTGCCAAGGCCGCCGAAAAGCAGGCTGCCGAGGATGTCGCCGACGAAGACGAGGACGATGAGGAGGATGAAGACTTTGTACGTTTCCACCCCCCACTTCTCCCCCCTCAATCGCTTGGAACAATAGCTGACTTTGCATCCACGACAGGAGGAGGGTGATGAAGACGATGACGAAGAAGGGTAAGCCTCGCCACGTTCAACCTCGCCATGCCGGAACACTACTAACGACCTTTTGTTGATGTTTGGCAGTGATTACGAGGAGGAAGATGACGATGAAGTTGCCGCCGGCGACGACGATGACGACGAAGAAGACGCACAAGAGTAAGTAACCCCCTCACACCCCCCTCCAACTTGCACAGTTCTCCACTAACACCTGTATGGTTCGGCTGCACAGCGATGACGAGGAGGAAGCTGGTGACGACGATGAAGAAGACGAGGAAGATGAGGAGGAGGAGGACGACGATGCGCAAACTAGCAACAAGAGGAAAGCGGATGACGACGACGACGCAAACGACGACGACTCCAAAGCCCCAAAGACGGATGAATAAACTCCTTCCCCTCTGTACCCTATCCACACGCACAATGCTACACTGTCATCCCCAATCCCGACTCTGCTCCTTCATCCATGAATCTCCCAGCGCTCCAACACAGACTTGCTCCTCACAGTGCTATACGCCAGTGCGCTCTCGCCAGCCCCACACGATACATCGAAAGAAGCCGAATGTGTTCTTGATACAGAGGTGGTGAAAAGCTGATATACCCACAGAGCGTCTGTGCACCGGACCTGCCGCCAAGAACCCCGCAGCAAGGCCCGCTGCCGCCAAACCAGCTAAACAGTTCCATAGCCTCGCATCAGAGCTCACGATCGCCAATCCGTGGCTCCACCAGCAACAACACCACCAGCTCCAGCACCACACGCAAGCACGCCCAGCATTCACAGCCGAGTTGGCGTGCCAAATGTGTGCCATCTCGTTCGGCGTGCAGCCCCAGCCGAACGATTTCTGCAGCAGTCACACCGATTTCAGCCTTGTGCACCCACACACAGCAGCACAATCCGAGCATGTGAGAACGACCGCTTACAAGCAAATGATACGAACAACGAATGTGTGCATGAGGGGTATAGCCGAAAAAGGGAAGAAGCGTATAACAAGCCAAGCGAATGAAGAAGAAACGTAAACAGATACTGTCCGGTGGGAGTGGAGGGAGTGGATATGCATGGGACTGGGGGATGCATGGCTAGGTTCGGAAGTGGTGCGCCTGCGCGAACGCCGGAGCCATCTCGGGCACCATCGGCTTGGCCGGCAGATGCGTCGTCGACATCTGCGGGCTCTCGGGCGGCGTGTGCACTGCACTCGACGTGTGCGAGTGGAATCCGGGGCTGGGTGGCGCGAGCATCGGCATCGAGGGCATGTACGGCAACCCCATGCCCATGCTCATCCCCATGGGCGGCTGCGCAAAGTACGGCATGGGCACCTGCAGCGCCGCAGGGTTGAACATCATCGAGCCCGATGGGCCCATGCTTCCCGTCGCGCCGGGCCACATGCCCATACCCATGGGCGGCATGGGCGGCGACATGGGCACGCCCGCCATCGATGGCGAAGGTGGCATGCCCATGCTCGGCCCCCACGTGGCCATGGGCGAGCCGAGCACGCTGCCGCTCGTGCTGAGCATCGAGTCGCGGTGCGAGTTGCGGCCCTGTCCACCGCGCGAGCGCATCGACTGGAAGCGCGCCTGGTCCGGCAGCTCGGCGAGCCACTCGGAGGGCGCTTCGCTACGGCGTCGAGTGGGCCGCGAGACGCGGTGGTCCGCCGCACCCACGGTGGCATAGGCGGGCGCATCCGAACGCGCGCGAACGCGCCCGTCGACGCGAATCTCGGACGCCGTCTGGCGGTGGGTGCGCGGCGATGGGTTGAGCGGCGACTGCTGCCGCGGCTGCGGAGGAAGCGACATGCGCACGGAGCCGGTGGGCGTAGTGGGGTCCGTTTCCGCCGAGCGCTCGAGCTTGGGACGTGCCATGCCGCCATGCTCCGACGGGGCGGTAGAGAGGTGGATGAGAGGAGGCTTTGCAATGCTCATCCTCTGGCTCTGGCGGATGCTTGCGGGCACGCGCGAGACGCCGTTCGTCTCGGTGGGGCCGGCAGCCGCCTCCTTGGGGTCCGACTCGATCGAGTGGCTGCGCTGGCTGTGTGCGCCCGAGACGAGCGTCATCTGCGAGCGATTGGTGTTCGTCTCCTGCTGCAGCGACTCGGGCTTGAGGATGCTCGCGGCCGGACTGGGCTCTTCGGCTGCGATGATCTCGCTCGGAGCTGCGGTCGAAGCGGGCTTGGGCGGCTGGGGTACAAAGTCGACGTGGCGACCGAGCAGACGGGCGAGCTGCTGCGAGTTGTTGGAGCGGCCGTCGTACTTTGGCCGAGCATTGATGAGCTGCTTGCAGGCGTGCATAATCTCGTCGTCCTTCCAGATGGACCAGCCGATGGCTACGCGGCGTGTGATGCCCTTCCAGTAGGGGCTCGAGGTGGTGTGGAGCGCCGAGACGAGCTTGCCGCCTTCGAGCGTGATGTCAAAGATGCTGGGCTCGGCCTTGAGGTTGGAAGGAGGGTCTATCTTGAGCGCCCAGTGGTCGGTCTCGAGGCCACGGTTGCGCATGGCAGCCTTGAGGCCGTCGGAATCGATGCCGACGAGGTCGAGGGGAACATCCTTGGCGTCCACGGGGGTGGAGACGAGCCAGACGCGCCTGGCTTCCGGGTGCGGTGCGGGATTGACCTCTTCCACGACGGCGGCGTTCTTCGACATGCACGATCCCATGTTGAACGAGTATACGAAGGGGGATTGAACGGATCTTGTGGGTGTCTGATGAGTGCCTACAGGGTGTACGCTGGGACGCACGTCCACCGTTGCTGGAGTGGGAGGCGGTCAGAAGGCAGGATTACGACTGAGACAGACAAGCCATGGCGGTGAGCAGGGAAGAGCGAGGTTGCGATCGACTTGTGTTGTCGCCGGAGGACGGGAGCGAGCACTTCTTCCAGGATGTGGATGTGGAGGGATGCTGTGAGGGCGGTGAGGAAGGATGGAGTCGAGCTTGGGCGCAACGAGCGATGACGGAGAGGGATGGTCGGCACTCTGCGATGGTGGCAGTGGAGCAAGAAGCCAAGCAGTGAGCGATGGGCTGAGCAGGAGGAGGAGGAGGGGAGGCAGGGGGGGCAGGGGGAGGAGGACGTGAGGGAGGGAATCTGGCTCGAGGCCAATGACTGGAGTCGAAAGCGGCGTCGGTCTGCTATGCCGACACGGCTCCTCCGACCGATTTCGGGCAACTCTCTGCACACAATCACAAAGGCGTTTGCAGAGGCGCTTCCCAGAGGCTTGACAGGCTCAAGAGGGATGGGATGCCGGCGTGGTGGGTAGGCTCTGATGGATTGCAGCGAGCGAGCGGTCGGCTGTGGGACAATCCGACCGACCAAGGGACGGACGGGCCGAAGGTATTTGCATGCAGAGAGAGAGAGCAAAGCCAAAGCCAAAGCGAGCCAAAGCAGAGCGGAAAGCGGAACGCGTGGGTGGGCGAGGCAGGCGGTGCCTTGGCCTGGCCCTGTCGAGATTAAGCGAGACGCAAGCCAGTCAGAGAGAGAGCATGCGCTGCTGCACCCTCGCGCGCGCGTTGCCGCACCTGGCCGCCCAGACCCACCCACCGACCCGCAACTGAGCCGGCCTCGTGCTCCACCCAAACTGGAACTCAGATGAGCTCAGCTCAGCTCATTTCGACGCCTCGCTCATCTCGGCCTTTTGCCCAGCAAAGGCAAAGCATCTCGCCACAGATCCAGCGCCACTGTCGGACGGGCCGAGATGCTTGGCCTCGCTTCCATCCTAGCCTCGTCGCAAATTTGACAGCCGAGAGCAGAAAAACAACAGTCCCGAAGCCTTGCTCATCGGCGCTTTCCGATGCAAACCAATGGACTTTCCCCACCGACTCCACCGCTCTGCCTTGCTGCATCACCCTCCAGGCTCTCACGTAGCGTGGGGAGGAGTGAGATTTTGAGCCAAAAGGCAACCTCGGCACTACCGTGGGAGAGAGGCGGCGGTATTGCTGCACGAGCGCGCAATCCCATGGAGTTTGAAATGGCCGACGATTCGCGGAAAACACAGGCTTGGCCGTTGCGACCTGTCAAAGGCGCTGCCACTCCCAGGGGGCGACAGACTGACGAGGTGCAAGGTGAGCGCATTCTTGTCGCGGTCGCAGGCGGGCCTGACCCTGGCTCGCCACCGCCACCATTGTCTTGGCCCACGCTCGCTTGTCCATGCAGATCCGCGAGTCAGCTTCAAAGTGCCGCACAATGTCGAAGGTGCGTCTGGTGATGGGCGGGAGAGAAAATCCGGTCGTCGGAGCTCAGAACGCGCTGGACGCGCTTCCAAGATCCGGGCATCAGAGCAGCACTCTATCAAACACGTTGCCGGTCTGTCTCTCGGCAAGACGACGTGGAGTGTCTCACCCTTGATCATCGGCGGCTGTCTGAGCGACGCTCGAGGTCCACGATATGCGGGCCAATGATGAGGACCCTTCCCGCAACCGCGCACGTTTGCGGTAGACTGCCTCGACACGATCCTAGCTTCAACGAGCGCAAGATGCACGACCAAGCAGAGAAGGAGGATGTGACGGCTTGAGATGCCGCGACAGACGCGATGCACATGCGGCCGCACGCACATGTGCTGTTTGAAAAACGACGAACGTGCCCGACTGCATGCAAATATCACACCATGCGCGATGCGGCCATTTCATTCCATCAGCCGTACAAAAAGCACTCTGTGAGCTCGTCGAGAGATTTTGCAAGCAGAGAAAACGAGGCTGCCCCTGCCGATGATGAGCACATCTAGACTCTACTCTGTGCTGCTGCGATCCTGACCAAGCTCTGCGCCGACGATCAGGAAGCGGAGTGTAGCCGACAGGGCAGCCTCTTGGATTTCTTCGAGATTCCGATCCGGGTTGCATTTTTCTTTGCAGATGGCACGGGAAGGGGTCCGTGTCGCCACTGCAACTCCACACAACTCCACGCTCTCTCTGCGAAAATCACAAAACAAGTGGAGCGGCCATCGACTTGGGCCCGCCTTTTGGATTTCCGAACGGTCTCGGCTCAAACGCGCGCCCAGCTGACCTCAACCACAATCGCTGCGTGGATGCCACCGCAAACAGCATTCGTGCCGCTCGAACGCCTTGGCAATGTCGGAAGCATTCCGCTTTTGCTCAACTGCGCGTGCCTCGCTGTGGAAGCGCTGGTGCACAATGACGACGTTGCACATCCCAATGGGTCCCCCCCCCGCTGTCGAGGTCAGGCTCGAGGTGGACCCTCGGGTAGCCGTCCGGTTTCGTTGAGACATTGCCTTTGGCTCTTTGAGACGTGAGGCTTCGCCCCACCGACACGCCAAGCTCGCTGTACGGCATTGTCGAAATCCATTGGGGAGCGGGGCATTGTCTCTTGCACTTCCGCCCGATGCGCCATGTCCCATTGTTGCAGAGCCTGTCAAGCTGGAGGGTGCTTACCGGGGCTCTCTCAGTCGACGGTATGATCGTGTCAGATCGACTGGCATTACATAGTGCTGCGCTGTACCATGAGATCGGCCGCGGCGCCGGTTTGGTTGTAGCTCTCGCAGAGCTACTTGCGACCCTTCTTTGCTCGCGATGACGACGACGGCTTGCCGTTGACCTTGGAGATATCCTGTGCCGAGAGCTTGAGCATGCCGCCCTGGAACTTGCCGATGCCCACGCCGATACCGCGTTGGCGTTTGCGCGTCTCCTTCTTGAGGCCCATCTCGGTGGCGGTGGCCTGGTTGGCGTAGGCCTGCTTGAGCGAGGGATGCCACGTGCCCAGCTCCTTGGCCTTCTCGCGCTCCTTGTCGCGACGCTCTCCGGCAGCCTTTCGCATTCCCTGTCGGATCGCCGCGGGTGCCTTGGCGAGCTGCTGACGCTTCAGCTCGTTTTCGCCCCAACCACGACCGACCGCCTGGCCCTTTCGCTGGGCTTCAGTGGCGGACAGCTCCATGATGCGCGCAATCGTATCGTTGGACGACAGATTCGACTTGCCCTTGGACGTCGTCCCCGTCCCCGGCGCGAACAGGGTGGTGGAAAGCAGCTCGGACAAGAGTCGATCGTTGGCCACCAGCTGCTTCTCTTCCTCCTCCTCGGCCGTGGTCGGCTTGGTCACAGATTCCTGATCCTCGCTCGCGATCTTCGCGGTCTTGGATGACATGAACGCCTTCCAGCCCTTCTTGGCTTCCTTGAGCTCGTCACCATCCGGCCGACTCTCGCCGCCGAACACCACGGTCTCTACTGCGCGAGACTTGGGCACCTTCTTGGCTGTCTTCTTGGAGCCTGTTAATGCTGCAGCTCCTTCGGAATTCGTTGTCGATGATGGCTTAGCTGAGCCAAACAGGCGATCCATCTCGTCCTGCTCGCGCGCGGGTATTGTCTCTCCCGCATCCTTGTCCGCGTCAGCCTGCTCAGCTGCGAGACGCTTGCGCTTCTTGCTTGACAGCTTCTTCTTGCTCGTTGTAGCATTGCCGGCTTCTGTCGAGGTAGATGTGCTCGCCTGAGGCAATTCGAATGACGAAAGGAAGGCATTACCGAAGGCCTCGAGCTGCGCGAGCTGGTCGGCCCGCTCGTCGGAACCCATTTCCTGCGCGGCTGACTCCTTGGCCTTTACCTTGCCGGTCGCCTTCGCGGTCTTCCCTTTGCTTGCACTCATACCTGGCTGTGCTGCCTCGGTAGCTGTATGTGGACGCACGACGGGTCGGGAAGGTGTCGAAGGACGAGTGGAAGAAAAAGCGTCATGCCTTGGCTTGGCCGAAGCGAAATTTCGCCAGCCAGGGTTTTCCGAGTTCCGAGAACAGGGCAGCCGCCGTCTGCTGTGGATTTTTGTTGCCGCATTTTTGTGGGGATTCTTCCTACGCAGAGAAAAAATCCACTCAGCATCGGCCTTTTGACCTTTTTTTTTTCTCTCGCGTGAGCAGAGCCAGGCTTTGCAGGTGTGCACAACGCACCTCCACTCGCTGCTCACCCGCTCGCCAGCATCGCAATCACCACCACCACCGATCCTGCACCTGCCTAGGCTTGGACTTGTCAGCTCAGCCGCCTCAACTAGGATGAGCGTTCGTTCCGCCAAGGGTATGGCCTCCGCCAGCGCGCGCTTGTCCAGGCCCCTCTCCACCACATCCAACGCAGCCTCGCTCTCGAAACGTTTGCGCAGCCATTGGGGATCGGCCACTGCTTCCAACACCGCTTCAGCATCGCCAGCTCAGACCGAATCAACGTCGGCATCGTCTCCATCTGGCTCATCGACTCCGTCTTCCCAGTCTTCCACAGCATCAGCGAGCTCTGCGAAAGCACCACCACGCAAGGCGGCGTTCCGAGCCCTGCGACACGCATCCAACTCGACGCGCGCCAATGCACCTCGCAAATTCGTTGCGAGCTATGACAAAGGCAAGGCCAAGGAGCAGGGCGGCACACAGTCTGCGGCCGACCATTCGGCGTCCATGCTCAAGGAGCTCAATGCGCTCGACGACCTGCTCGACTCGCTCCAGAGCAAGGCCTTCTCCATCTCGCAAAGACTCAAAGCGGTCGACCTCTCTCGATCATCCAGCAAAGACCAGGTGGAGGAGGCGTGGGGTGCAGATCGTCTTGCCCCGCCGAATGCAGAGTCGACGTGGTCGGCAGGCCCAGCAGGCTCCGACGCATCGTCCAAGCCGAGCGACAAGAAGGTAGGTGAGCCAACGACGCGGCTGGTGTTTGGCGACAGTCTGCTGGCCGAGTCGAGCCTGCGGTGGCGCGACAGCAAGGGCAAGACCGTCGAGGGTGTGACGTACAGTGGTCCGTTTGCCGACGAGATCAAACGCTACACCGAGTCGATCACCGGCTGCGTCACCGCCAACAACGTGCCTGTAGACAAGGTGGCGCCGCTGCGAGAGATGGAGGTGGCCAAACTGGCGCATGGTCTCGATCGCGTGCTCTTCAATCCGGGCGTCTACTGGCTGCGCGACCCGCGCTCGGGCATCTACAACTTCGACCCGCGCATCAAGGACATTCTGGACGTGGATCTGTTCGACTATGCAGCGCTGCCGCCCTACATCACCTCGAGCAAAGACCCCGAGCTGGCCAAGCTCACCAAGCAGCACGCAAAAAAGTACTGCGGCAGCACCAGCTCCATGACGTCGCTGCTGAGCCAGTGCTACTTTCTCATCTCGGGCTGGCGCAATCCCGACACCTCTGGCTTTTCCGCGCCCTTTGCCGGGCTTCCGAGCGGCTTTAGCGTCGGCGCCAAGCTACCTGCATCCATCCTGCTCAACTACAAGGACGGCTTCTACGCCATCGATGCCGACAAGGCGTCGGCGGGCGAGGCGGAGAACAACAACTATGTGCTCACCTCGCTCGGCAAGAGCATGGAAAAGATGCTCACCGCCACGCCGGACGAGTATGCAAAGTACCAGCGCATCAACTCGTGGAAGTTGAGCGAGGAGGAGAGGACCAAGCCCGAGGCGTACCACTATGCGTGTACGGGCAACATGATGATGCGATCCCAGCTGGATTGCCACGACGAGCGACTTCCGCACAAGACGTTTGACCTCAAGACGCGCGCGTCCATCGGCATCCGCAACGACCGCGCCAACTACGTCGAGGGATCGGGCTACCAGATCCGCCGCGCCCAGGGGCTGCTCGAGTCGTTTGAGCGCGAGTACTTTGACATGGTGCGCGCGGCGTTTTTGAAGTACAACTTCCAGGTGCGCATCGGCCACATGGACGGCATCTTTGTCGCCTACCACACCACCTCGACCATCTTTGGCTTCCAGTACATCTCGGTCGACGAGATGAACGAGCGCCTGTTTGGAAGTCAGGACATGGCGGACCAGGCGTTCAAGCTGAGTCTCGGCATGATGGAGGCCGTACTGGACGCGGCTACCAGCATGTTCCCCGAACAGACGCTCAAGATCACCATCGAGGCCAAGGACAAGTCGGACACAGGCATGGTGGTGTATGTCGAACCGGCCGACCAAGCTACTGCCACGGAATCCAACGCCGCCAATCAAGCATCTGCTGAGGAAGGTGCCAAGGCGGGAGGTGGGGGTAGGAGCATTGTACAGCTCGACATCACCGTGGATCGGTACCTGGACGGTGGGCTCGTGTTGGGACCCGTCGACTTCTCCTTCCTCCCCGGACGTCGGGTCGACCCCATGAACGAGGACGAGATTGAGCGTCGACTGCGTCAGTCTCTTCCCCCTGTTCGGTGGGAGGTTGACTACCGCATTTCGCCGCGTTCGGACCTCACCGAGGCCAAGATCCGCGCGAATCTTCAAGCTGTTCGCGATCGACAGGCGAGTCTGGGTTCGTTGATCCTGCCGAATGTCGAGGCGCTCAACGAGCGCGAGCAGTTCCGCACCACGGAGCTGGCCAAGAACCCGGAGGCGCTCAAGCGGTTCTTGGAAGAACGTGCATCGGGCGTGGCGGCGGGTATGCCACTTGCACCGGGTCAACGCTCGGCTGAAGCCGCATCCAACGAGGCTGTACCGCAAGATGCCTTGGTGGCGGCAGATAAGAGCCCGCGTAGGAAGCAGGCCGAAACGAGGTTCATCCGCATGCGCAACATCCGCACCCTGCGTCTGCGCGAACTCGCCAAACTAGGCGCCAAGGACGCCACCCTCCAGAAGTCTACCGACAAACATATTCTCTACCAACCACAATCTTAGAAGCCACCATGCACCGCACCTCGCAATTTTTAGCCTTTGCGTCATCGCACAGAAACCATGGTCGCAAGCACCAACAGCCACTCGGATTCGACGGAAATGCACGTGTTTGTATTGTTTTCCCCTCGTCTCTGCGCGGCGCAGCGCCTTGAGAACGAAGGGGGGTTGTATGAGTTACAAAATCCCCTCTTGTGCTCGAACTTCGAGCACAGACCGGAGATTTGGGTGGGGGGAAAAAGGGGGGGTCGGAGCGCATAGCGAAAGGCGCTTTTTTGGGTCTGGTCAAATCAAAAGGGGTGGGGAGGAAGGCAGGAGAGAAGGATGAATGCACAATATGCTAGGGACGATGCAAACAGCCCGAGAGGTTCCGACACGAGAAAGTGTGGTGTGGATGCGAGAGAGAGGAAGAGATGCAAAGATCTTGGCCTGAAAAAGACGTGCCTGGACGGATTGCAGAGTGTCGAGATTGAGACCGCGGAGGAAAGACGAGTGGGACGGCGACGATCGACCAGACCCAAGAGCCAGCCGCTATCCTTCGTCAATCATTGAGGTATCAACCTAGAACCGCTGCAATCCATGCTGAACCTTTGCCGGGGGGGGTATGAGAGGCGCATGCAGCCCGCCAATTTAGAACTTGAGGGCGTGGGGCTTCTCACCCTTGGAGAGGGAGAAGGTGGCGGCAAGGTACTTGGCCATGGTGGGGCCAGCCTTCTTGACGGCGGCGATGACGGCCTTGTCGAGCGACTTCTGGTCGGCGACCTTGGACTCGGGGTGAGCCTGCTTGTTGGCGGGGTCGGCGAAGAAGGCGGCCTCGGGCTTGGTCTTGGCGGCCTTGTCCTTCTTGAAGTAGGCGTCGTTGATCTTGTCGTCGACCTTGACGTCCGAGATGTCGATCTTGGTCGAGGTGGCGATCACGTAGGCCTGGTTGACGCGGCGGATGGGGACACCGTTCACCTTGAAGGGGCCGGTGACGAGCAGCAGACCGGAGTCGAGCTGCTTGAGGAACACGACGCGCTTGCCGCGGAAGCGACCGGCGAGGAGGATGAGGACGGAACCGGGGGTGATGTTGGACTTGAGCTTGGTGGGCTTGTTGACCTTGCGGCTGGCCTTGGGCTTGGCAGCGTCAACCGAGGGGTAGAAGCGGGGGGCCTTCTGGGTGGGGACGAGGCGCTTGCCGCCGTTCTTGGCGCCCTTGACGGGGACCTCCTTGTGGGCGGGGGTCTCCTCCTCCTTCTTAGCGGCGCCCTTGCGCTGCTGGAACTTGTAGCCACCCTTCTTCTGGTAGGCCTTGGTGCGGCCGAGGCGAGCCACGTTAGGGGCGATCTGGCTGTTTCGGGCCATTTTGTCGGAATATATGCTGGTGGTGGTTGGGAAGGAAGCAAAGGAAGTGAAGGAACGTGTCAGATGCGGCTGGCCCTATATTTCGAATCTTGGCTGCGGGCACTCGTAACTCCATCCCATCGTATGCAGGTCGGGCGAAAACGAAAAGTTGGCCGTGACTGCGAAACAGTGACCGTGAACGAATCTGTTGGCCAGGTCGAGACTGCCGTCGGTGTGGTGATGCTGGGATGCGGCTGCGATTACGGATTCTGAGCGATTCGCACAAGTTGTGATGCAAGTATCTCCGTGTCCGCCATCGCAATCCCGTCTCGCTTGACTGCATCCTAAAGAGCAGAGCATACCGTCACCAATGTCATATGCGTTACGCTGAGTGTGCTGCATCCATCCTGCGAAAGTGGAGATCCTGCCTGTCCGCCACCACTATCCGCTGCTCGACGATGACGATTCTCCATAACGCCTCCTGTCTATCCGGATGCTGATCGCATATGCTCTGCTGCGGCCGACATGTGCTGATGCTATCATCCTACGATCAAGGTGGGTCCTCGTCGTCACCGATATGAACAATGCCGCGAGTGGTGATGGGATCCGAATGCGTATGCGAGAGTGCGTGCGTGCGTGCGTGCGATCGCTTACTGGTGTGTCGGATGCGTCGATGATGTCGAATGGGATGGAGATGCGAGAGTATGTGCCCGTCACTATCGACTTACCTTTTCTTGATGGCTTGGAGAAAGGAAACAGTGACGAGGGAGCAGGCGCGAATGTCAAGGTGCGGCTCGCTGCGCTGGGCTCGGCGGATCGGCTCGGTGGCTCTCGCAATCGACTTGGCTGTGGGCGCAGCTGCGTGCGTGCGGTTCCGACTCTGCCCACCACCGCCGCTCAGCTGTGGAGTTGGCAGGCCCACCAACTTTGGCCGAATCTGACGGCCTTCCGGCAGCTGCCTAGCTGAGAGAGCGAAAGAGCGGGATTGGCACGTGACATAATCTTCGCATTGCAGAAAGCTCGGCCGAGGTTTCAACAATTTTGCAATTTCAATTCCCATCGATCGGCAGGCAGAGAGATGGCTGCTTTATCGGGTACAAGTTGAATTTGTATATCTCACACAATCTTACATCTTATCAGGATTGGCACGAGCACGGACGCCCGAGCGGGTCCTGCAAGCGAGACGGCTTCCATGCATGAATTCGAGCGAAGCCAGGCGCAGAACGACGTGCATGGGAATGGTGTGCTTCGCCGCCGATGTTGGGCAGCAGCCGAGTTCGGTCCGAGTTGGACCTCCGCCATGCCCGACAGCCTCAGAAGTCCGACGCTCGCTCGCCAAGTTGAACAGCGCGCAGAAGCCCTGCCGTTATCGGCCATCCTGATCAGCATCTGTGATCTTTGCCCGTCAATCGTTGCGATCTCCGACTTTTGCACCGGGGGCCGAGCCACGCAAAGGCCGTACTTCTTGCCGCCCGCACGGCTGTACCGCAGTGTGTCCACTGGAACAGACGCACAGAAGGTGGCCTCCGGCCGCACACTTTGAAATTGAGCCACTCTCCTCGCACCGCCGCCATTTTCCGAGGTCGTGCCGTTGCTGCCGTTGCTGCCCTTCTGAGTTAGGCGCCGCAGTCACAGATCCCCACCGACATTGCCGAGGTGAAGCCAAAACGTGGGAACGTCTGCCTCTTGGCCGGCGTGCGGATCTTTCCGCTGCTGCAGCCCACCCGCGAGACGAGACTCGTCGGCCCCACCGATGGCAGCTCCGTCCCCAGCGACGAACTGAATCATCCTAGCCGACAAGTTTCGGCTCTGCCTCCCTGAGAAAGCCGTAATGGATGCACTTGATTGACGGGTGGGGCCAAATGTGACTCGACGTGGCCGCTGAGGGTTGCGACTTGGGACTGCCGAGCAGATGCGCGCAGATGAAATGCTGACCGAGCTTCATCGGCAAAGGGTGGCAACGGGTCTTGACTCTTGCGCGCGTCTGTTGAGTGGGAGGCTGTCCTCTTGCGCGCACGGACATGCTGCCATTCAGGCCGCCGAAGCGTGGGTCTGCTTCGATCTCTCTGCGAAGAAGAGGTGGACCGTGCTCTGCCCCAACAGTCGGCTGCCTTTCGCCGGCATCGCAGCATCGAGCATCGAGCATCGAGCAACGAGCATCGAGCAGAGCCTTTGACGCTTCACATGCGCTCCTGCCGGGCAGGAATGCCAGAGCCGCACCGAGCATGGCCCCAATCTCTGCCGCACTTTTTGGCTGGGCGTCGCAGCTGGCCAAGCATCCCATATAAAGGCGGCTGCTACTACCTCCTTCGCTCTTGCTGAGGTATTGACTCCAACACCAACAGCTACTAATCCACCATGCCGCCTCCTACTGCCTCGTTCACGCACCCCTCCGCGCCGGCTTCGCTGGACACCAAGCCTAGCAAGGGCACATTTGACCTTGCTGCCAAGCGTGCATTGCAGCATGTAGCCATCGCCCCGGGCGCCGAGCCCATCGAGGACTTCTCGGGCCACTACCGGTTTGCCGAGATCAAGGAGTCGCACACGTCGCGCGCCATGACCTCGCGCTACATGACCGACATGATGGACGCAGCCGTTTCGGACGTGGTCATCATCGGCGCTGGCTCCGCCGGTCTCACCTGCGCCTACACTCTCGGTAAGCAGCGTCCTGATCTGCGCATCACCATCCTCGAAGCCTCCGTCGCCCCTGGCGGCGGCGCGTGGCTGGGGGGTCAGTTGATGAGCGCAATGGTCATCCGCAAGCCTGCGCACAATCTGCTCGTCGAGATCGGCGTGCCGTTCGACGACGAGGGCGCATACGTCGTCGTCAAGCACGCTGCACTCTTCACCAGCACGCTCATGAGCAAGCTGCTCGCCATGGACAATGTCAAGCTCTTCAACGCTACGTGCTGCGAGGACCTCATCATCAAGAAGGACGCACAGGGCACTCAGCGCGTCAACGGCGTCGTGACCAACTGGACGCTTGTGACTATGGCACATGGTCTCCAGTCCTGCATGGACCCCCAAAGTAAGTGCAGCATGCAAAAGAATTTGGTTGAGAAGAGAGGCTGACAGACGACGCGTCGCTAGCCATCACTGCCCCCGTCGTTATCGGCGCCTGTGGTCACGACGGCCCCTTTGGCGCGTTCAGCGTAAAGCGTCTCAGCTCGGCTGGCCTCATCAAGCTGGGCGACATGCGTCCCATGGACATGAACAAGTCCGAAGGTCAGTCACCATCCTCCCTGCGCACTTGGCTCAAGGCGCTTTAATGCTCACCTTTGCCCCTTTTTTTTTCCCCTTTTTCCGCGCCGCATTTTTGGGTTGGGTTCGACAGGTCTCATTGTGAACAACACGCGCGAGGTGTTCCCCGGCCTGATCGTGAGCGGCATGGAGCTGTCGGAGCACGACGGCCATCCGCGCATGGGCGCCTCGTTCGGCGGCATGATCGGCTCGGGCCAGAAAGCCGCCTACGAAGCCATCACCCTCTTTGACTCGCTCAACGTGCACGACGGCGAAGTCATCTCCACCAAGCACTAAATCAACCCCCAACAATGCCAGCTCGTTGATGAATTCCAAAGGCTTTGACTCAAACACTCTTCCGCCATGCTTTCGCAATGAATGCTTGTGGGTTTTGGATTGCATCCTCTGTGCGTGCCTAGCCTCCGCGCGAGCGCACGATGAATGCCTCGAGGTACTTTTTGAACGGCTTGGCCTCCAGCGTCTTAAGATTCTGGGCAAAGTCGGCCGCCATCTCGGGAGGGCAATGGATGCCCGGAAAGTAGACTTGGGTGAGGTACTCCACCGCCTCGTCACCCCTCTTTGCGTAAATCGTCTTGGCGAGCGTGGCGATCTCGCCGAGCACGATCTGCGCCTGCGCATCGCGGAAGTCAAACGTGTCCTTGCTGGGTGCCTCAAAGATGAGCCCGATCAGCGTCTCGTAGATAAACCGCTCGAATCCAGGCAATCCTGCCCCAGCTCCATTCGCCGCCCCACTCGATCCTCCCCAAGCCGCCACGAGCCTGTGCAGGATGCTGAACGCCGTGCGCTGACAAGCAGCATCCGAATTGGTCGAGTAGAACACGACGCTCTGCAACAGCGTTTCCAGCTGAGCCGCATTCTTGTCCGACACAAACACCCCCTCCATGCCCGACTGCACCATGCTCGACAGCAGGTTCATGTACGCCTTTTGGAGCTCCGACTTGTGCACCGCATCGTCCGTGCCCGTGACGCCCTGGTTGAGGAAGAAGAAGATGCGCTCCACCAGCATCAGGAAGAGCTGATCCACAATCGGCTTGACGTCGTCCTTGTACTTGTTGACCACGAGCGACAAAAAGTTGACAAAGTCCACCAGCTCCTGCGACGTCACCTCGCTCAGCAGCGCATCGATCAGCCCGGGAATGTACGGCAGCACCGCCTTGCCGCACGTCGAGACCATCCTTGCAAACGCACCCCGCGCCGCCTCCCGGACCACCGCAAAGCTGTTCATCGCACCGATGCTCAGCAGCACCTGCTCGGTGATCGCCTTGAATACGCCCACCCACTGCGGCTCGGGCTGCGCGCTGTTCGGATTGACGTCCGGGAAGCCCTTGGACAAGCTGCTGAGCGCCAGCATGAGGTGGTGCACCTGCAGCACCGACGTCAGATCCTGCGCATTGCGCTGGAACGCCTGCACCGCCTGACGCATCTGCTCGCTCAGCGGCTCCGAGATGGCCTTGAGCAGCACCAGCTGCTCCTGGGGCGCCGTGTTGAGCAGCGAGATCAGGACGCCGCTCGTTTCGAACAGGTACAGCTGGCTGTCAAAGTAGCCTGCATGGCCCGTCGCTTTCTCCAACGGATCCTCGTCGGGCGCCACTTCCGGCAGCTCGGCGCGCACCACCAGCAAGTCCTGCAGCCCCTGCAGCAGCCTCTGCACGTAGTCGAACGGCACGGCCGCCACGGCACGCAGGTCGCGCACAAAGCGGTAGAGCAGATAGTTGACGCGCTTGCGCACACCCAGCTTCTCGTGGTGCACGCCGCGCCAGTCCAGGAACGCCGGCAGCGCATCCGAGACGCACGCGCTGCGCGCCGCAAAGAAGTTCGAGTAGCGCACGAGGCACTCGAAGAACTGCAGCTGCACGGCCGGGTGCGGGAAGCTCGACACGTTGGACTGCACCAGCTTCTGCACCATCTCGCCCAGATCGCTGAGCGGCAAGGCTGCCAGCGCCTCGTTGCCCAACTTGGGCGCGCGGCCCTTGGAACCCGCCTCGGGGCTCTGGACAAACATGGCTGGCGAGAGGCCCACCTTGGGCGCGGCGGTGGCGGTCGTCATGACGTCGCCGTAAAAGGTGATGACGTAGAGCGCGAGTTCGATCTGCTGCCACGAGAGCTGTGCACCGGTGCCTGCGGCACTCGCTTCGAACGAGGCAAAGGTGGACAGCACGAGCTGCGCGACGCTGGTCGAAAACAGCTTGTCGTCGATGGCGGCGATCGCACCCACGATGGTCTGGAGGTTGCGGCGCATGTCGAGGAACTTTGCATCGTCCTCGTCCTCCTCTTCGTCGTCGTCGTCGGCCGCGCCAAAGCTGCTGGCGGGCCACTCTGCCTCGTCGTCGAACTTCATCTTCTGCAGCGCGACGCCGATGAGGCTGGAGAGGAACTCGGCGCGCGGGCCGGTGAGTTCTGCTCCGCGCCTTCGCGCCTTCTTGTACATGGCGAGGATCATGTTGACGCCCGAGAACATCTGTTCGGAGGCATCGTCGTACTCGTCCGAGAGGAAGGCGAGCACGAGCGGGAGCACCGAGTTGAGCAGCGCTTCCGCCGCCAGCTTGGTGGCCTCCTCGGCGGCACTCTCCTCGAGGATCTTGGACATCTCGAGCACGAGACCGTTGGTGAGCCGCGCGAGGTGCTCGCGGAACTCGATGTTGGAGTCGCTTCGGTCGCTCTGGCCGTTCTGAGCCGCCTGGCCGGTGCGCGTCTGCGACTCGAGCGGCGTGATGACCTGGGGCAGGTTGAGCGCCTGGGCCAGGCTGAGCTTGTCGGCGGGCTTCATGCCCTTGCTGACGATGCCGTGCAAGGCGTCTGCGGCGGCGGTGCGCAGTTTTGGGATGGGGTGATGTAGGACATTGAAGAGCAAAGAGACGGTCTCGTTGGACACGACGAGGTTGATGTCAATCCACGAGACGTAGTCCTCGACGATTTTGGTGGCGGCGGCGGTGAGGTCGACGGCGCTCGCAAAGGACAAGCCTCGGACGCCCGCAGCGGTGGTGGGGTCGGTGGCGTGCTCGCCGAGGTTGACGCGGTTGAAGCCTTCCTCGACGACGCGCCAGACGGACTCTGCAATGTTGGCGGCGTGGTTGGCGCGAATCTCGTCTCGGATGACGGCGTCGCGCTGGAGACGCTCCTTGGATCGAACGGCACGCAGCGTGACGTCGGAGCCGAGCGTGACAGAGAGGTCGTGGAGCACTCTGAGCACGAGGTCGGTGGTGAGCGGATTGAGCGGGATGTGAGACGACGAAGCTTGCGAGGGCGATGCGGTGGGGTGTGCGCGGATCATGGACAAGAGCGTAGGGAGGAGCGTGTAAGGTGGTGGCAGGTTGTAGGTCTGGAGCAGCAGCACGGCGAGCACCTGTGCGAACTTGTTCTTGATGTAAGGAACGGCACCATCGCCGTTGCCCGAGACATACTCGTTCTGGATGTACTCGATGGCGGACTGTTGGAGCGAGGCTACGGCGGCGGCGGGGTCGGAGGACAAGCTGATGCGGTTTTCGAGAAAGTCGTCGACGAGCATGAGGCCGAACATGCGCGCATTCTGGCTGTACTTTGGCCCATTGTCGGCCGCGTTGCGTGCGGACCAGACGCTCCAGCCGACGCTCCAGCTCTCGTGGGTGATGGTCTTGAGATGTTCGAGGAACTGGAGCGCCTGGGAGGTGACGTCGGGACCTGCACGGGCGAGCGGGTTGGAGGCGATGTCGACTGCCTGGATGAGCTGCTCCTCCATGGCGGCGACGTATGAGCACCGGGACCGAGACTGCTCGGGTGTTCCAATCGATCGAGTGCGTTGGCGGGCTATGCAGACATGTGAGCGTGAGCTGGTGCGAGCGATGCGGCGGTATGTGTGATTAGAGCGTTGCGCGAGTAGAGCCGGTCGATGCTGTCTGTTTGTTGATGCAGAGATGGAGAGAAAGAGAATGCGAAGGAGCGAATGCCGGAGACAATGCGAGAGAGAGTGTGTGAGTGTCTGAGAGGCTGGCGGGTGTAGGCGTGTGTGTGTTGAGCTTGTTGGTTGGTGTTGGTGTTGGTGTGGAAGACGGCGTTGGGTCGACTGAGCTTGTGGGCCGTCGTGTGTCCACGTCCACACGCACCCGCACCGGCCAAAAGCGAGGCTCAACCACCGCTGTGATCACAGCTCGCAAGAATTTTGGCTTCCTTTTTTTTTCTTTTCTTTCTTCGCCACGAGATCAACAGAAGAGCCGCTCCACACTCGCCCAGTGCCGTGCGAGAACGACGCGCCGAAGCAGTCCATGTTAGGCCTGCAAGCCCCTTTCCTTGCTGTCGCCAGCTGTCAGGCTTCGCCGGAGGCCCTTCTCATCCTTCTCACTAAAGCCCCGAGTCGATGCCACACGTACCTCAGAGATATTGTTCATGAGATCGTTTGCAAGACTGAAAGTGCTGAGAATATCAACGTCGTGCTAGCATTCCCCACCGTCTACTTTGAGCACGATTCATCTCTTCGAGCGCATAGACATCGTCGGCCGCCTTCCAGTCGCCGTACTTTCCGTGATTGCCCGTCTTGTGGAGTACCACAATGTATCCAGGGCCCGACCTCCCCGTGTGTCTCTCGTTCGTGATCCGACGGTCCGGCTCCAGCTTGTTGCGTTCCGTGAGCGCCGTCTTGCGCATAATGGTGATCATCCAGCCCAGGTTGGCCACAAACAGCACCACCAGGCTGATCTGCAGGATCAGCAGGTCGCTCGCAAAGAGCCAGATCGTGGTGCGCGGCCTCGTCTCGGTATAGATCAGCGGATAGGTCGCCCGGAATCGACCCCGGCCGCACAGCGACCTGTACAGGCTGTAGTTGTCTCCGTCGCCCAGGCATGCGTCGTCGCGCACAAACTTGCCTACGTCCAGCATCGCATCAGCCGCCAGCGAGAACGCAGCGATCTGCAGCAAGCCTACCACAATAAACGCCGCATAGTCCCACCAGAACATGTAAGCGTAGATCGGCAACACCATCCACCCTACCAGCAAAGACGACGAACGTTTCGTCCAAGTGCGAGGGGTAGCCATCGAGTCAACAGCGCCGAGAGAAAGATCCGGCGCAGGGCGATCCGAGGAAAAGAAGCTTGCTACCGCTTCCGCAGTGTGCTCGCTTTCGCTATCCGAGGGCGTTGCGATCACTTCGATGTCGTCGTCTTCCCGTCCGACCGTGCGAGCATCACCAACTCGCGACGGTGGTCTCGATTCGTACGCGGGCGGAGCCGAGTCACCATCGGCCATTTGCGCGACGCCGGTCATCACAGTCGGAGCCCTGGCACCGGGGCGTACGTTTCTGCTGTCCACGCTCGCACGCCGTGCAACAGTGCCGCTTTCATAAGCCGGCGGCTTTGTCGAAGGCTTCGACATCGTAGAAGTCGCGTCCGTTTCACCGACCTCATTGATTGCCGTCAATGTGTCTCTCGTCCATCGATTGTCATCCCGATCGACGTGTGCCGACTGCGCGCGACGATTGCGCTTGCTGGGCCTCGGCTTGCGTTCGACCTTCTCTTCGACATCATTCTGACCGACCTGAACGGGCCCCATGCTAGCGCCTGAACTTCGTCTAGAACGCCTGACCCTGCGTGCGGCCACCGACAGGTTGTAGCTTACGCAAATGATGGTGAGCGTCGCAAAGAAAGCCGGCACCACCGCGATGGCGCTGAAGAAGTACTTGAAGCCGTCGTTCATCTTGGCGGTTCGTGCGTTGATCGAGACGGTCGAAGGCGATGGCATGGACGATACGGAGACGATCGTACCACCAACTAGCGCCGACATGGACGACTGGACGTACTCGATCTTGATCAGCGAAAGCGAAGACAACGGTGCTGGAGTTGCCGATGTGGCAGAAGAAGGGACGTTGCCGACTTGCCGAGCCTGCAGAGACACAGGAGTCAATGTGGCAGATGCCGCTGTCCGAGCAACTTGGGTGCGTGATGGGCCCAAGTACAACGGTGAAGATGCTTGCGCCTGCACGACGGCATCACGCGGAGCGAGGCGTGCAGATGGCGAGGCTGTAGCTGCGATTGAAGGAATCGATGATGTTGACCGCGGCGGAAGATACGTGTAGTACTTGACGTAGTAGGTCGGTACGCTCACATCGTCGTACCTGTTGGTGGTTGCGCGATAGCCTCGAACGGTTGGCGGATACGGCGTGGTCGAGTACAGCGAAAAGACGAGCTTTGCCTGTCCGTCGGGGGCGATCGATGTGCAGTCGAAGCCGACCCTTGTGCCTCTGTCCCAATTGTAAGGCGTGCACGTGGCAGATTCGACGCTTTCATCACCGCCAGATGAGATGGCCGACACAGGGGTCACCGCTGCGTCCCTATTCCAGGCAAAGATGACACCCGGAAGCGACTGGACGTCAAAGGTCTGGTCGAAGTTGGACGACGGTCGCTGGGCGAAAATGATCGTAATCACGGCCGAGGCCATCAAGAGCAGGTAGAAGAAGTAGTAAAAGAACAGATTGACCGCGGTCTCTTTGGGTGCGGAAGTGATGTGACGGCTGACTGTCATGGTGCTCATTTGAGGCTCGGGGTCCACGACGGGACCCCCTGTTCGTGCTGGGTTGACATGGACGGTGAGGTCGCGAGGGCGACTTCGTCCGAAGAGTCCTCCCGGCATCTTGTTGATGCTTCTCCTCGTTGTCTCAAGATGCAAGAAGCCCTGGCGGCGCGGCGCTCCTGCGTTACAGTACAGTTCGAAGTTCTGCCTAGTCGGTGGATCGAAATGCTTTGTCGATGCGAGGAAAATCGAGTTTCGAGGGAGGCCTCGCAGATTCTGAGTTGGTATGGAGCAGGGACAGGCTCGTGAATCGGTAGTGCCAAGCAGGGCCGTCTATATAAGCGAACGGCGTCCGTGTAGGAGTGCCGCAAGGATACCCGACGTCACGATGGCATGGCGTTGGCTGGTGCAGCTCTCGTTCCTTTGTTCCTATCGCGTCGCCTGTGTCAACGTGGGCAGGAGCGCTGCGGGAGAGAGCCAGAAGCAGAGGAGTGGCGGTGGTCGGGTTCGGGTGATCCAGGGCAGAGGGATTGGTGGAGGTCAAGCTTTCGGCTGGAGTGCAAGCGAATTGACTGAGCGCGGTGGCACTGCAAAGCCAATTGCCAGAGGTCTGTGAAGCCGCGGCATGGGCGGCTCGGCTGGTCGAGCCCGCTAGCGTGGCGAAGGGGAACTCGCAAGACGTCGAGAAAGGCAAGGGCCGAGTGGCGCAAGGCGGCAGAGTCAAAGCCGCGGAACGGGAGCGGGAGGCGAGCACCACTGAGATTACGCCGGAGCCGAACTGCAATCCATCTCCATCATCACGGTCGAAAGCATCTCGACTGTGATGACGGACGCGAACGGGAGCGGCAGACCAAGTCGAGCGCATGAATCGGCGGGGCAAAAGCGATGCAACCGTTGGACAGGCTTGCAGCTATGGGAAAGGACATGGTTCCAATGTCGCCGACTGGCCGTGCGCACGTGTGAGCAACAGGCCCGGCGGAGAGGAGAACAAACAAGGGCGGATTTGCTGCCAATTCGAAGGCGCTGCGGTCTCTTGGCGCTTTGTGCAGAACGGGAGATGGGGATGAAGGCGCTTTTTGAGTTGGGCAGCATCGGATGGGACTCGCAAGCGAAGCGAAAGCACGCGAAGGCGCGGCCGCCCACGCTGATGTCGTCAGCCACGCCCACTCCGTTTTTCGACAGGTTGGCTTGGGACGGACAAACACAGGACTTGAACACGGCGAATGGAGACGGTCTGCTTGCTTGACATGGAATGCAAAAGTCGTGCGCAGGGTAGGCGGCGTGCTTTGATTCCTTCGCACACGTGCACACAGTGGCGCCTGGCCAGCAAGACCCTCAGAATCAGGTACGCCCCGTGACGACTCCGTTCGACCAGGGTCTGACAGCGTTCTCGAAGCGTTCGCCCTGCCCGCTTCGTTGCCCTTTTTATAGCCTGTATGCACGACCTTTTGTGAAATGATGTACAGTCAAGACTCACCTTGATTCGCATGCGATTACAGGCACTGTTTCGTTCACCGAACACGTCGGACGAGCCGGAAACGAATTGATACGAGCTTTAGCCGGCTTGCGACAGAAGCTCGACCAGGCTCGACATTTTCGGCAGCCTCTGACTCAGCCAGCTATCAAAGCTTGAGGCTTGCTTTCGGCAGTTCCGGACACCCGAGTCAAATCTTACAAGCTCCGAGGAGGCAATCGGAGGCTCCGCTCTAGCTTTCTACTGGGTCAACGAGGTTGAAAGGTTTGAGGCCTGTGTGGATGCCATGGGCGACCCGATTTGGCATTGGACCGAGCCAATCGAGTCCGATCGACGCACGATCGCACAATGGCGCGCGGTCCCGCTCGGCAGACGTGTTCTTTTTCTGGGGTCGACAGCTCAGGGTCCGCGTCGATCGATCCTTGAGCATCGGGTAGAAGGGTCTAGAATCCAACTTGGCGTGGTCCCTCCACTTGACCGAGTCTTGCAGCGCCGGTCTGACTCGACCCATGCAGCCGCTCATGCACGCACCATGATGATGACGACGAACGGCAGGTGCAACATTTTATGCTTGGCTTCGACGGATGGATTATTGAATGGCAGAAGCCGGCTGCCTGGCGAAGCATTGGATGGAAAAAGGCTGTGCGGTGCGAATGCGGAAAAGGGGCAGCGGCCAAGCCACACTCTGGCATCGGATGGACTCTGGCTGAGCTGCAATTGGCGATCCCTGGCTCGACGCAGACGCCCATCTTATCGTCATCCCGAAGCGAGGCACAGCCCGGCAGAGGATGCAAGATCGAGTCAAATTCAAATAAACTGCAAGTGCGCGTTTAAGCCAAGTACGAGCGAGCCAAGCCAGGAGACCACCTGACTGCTTTGCAGGGGCCGAGCGACGCGGGGGGCGCTGCAGCTGGTGACTCCACTCGGCGCGGGTGTCGAAGTGGGGCGCGCGCGCACGGTTGCGGAGGGACGCGCATGCACGCGCATGCAGCCGGCATCTCACGCGTCCACTCGCCCGGTGCCTCCCCATCGTCAGCCGCCACCCGAACTCGCATCTCCAGCGCGCTTGGCCGGTGAGATTGCCAGGGAGATAGCCAGCCCAAGCGCTCACCTGATCAAGCATTTTGGCCTGGCACTTCCGACTCGTCGTCGTCTAGGAGAGTCGATTGGCTCAAGCTTATCCGCCGCAGACCGGGGCATCCATCGGCGTTGAACGGGCGAGTGACGGGGGGCGAACCAAGGCTCGATCGAGCCGCTTCGAAGCCTCGGCATGCATCAATCCGCTCGACCTCGCTCGTCCTTCCAGAAGCGGGGAGACAGACGGCTCGCCTCAAGCGAGACGGGGCGGAGAGGCAAATGTTTCTGGCTCGAGCTCTCGACCAAACTCTTGGCTGCGAGTGCACCGCCGATGACTGACATCCGAGCCTCCGCTCACCTCGAGACGCTGCGTGTACTGAGACAGCGTTGTGACGAAGCGGCGAGATTGCCATGTTGCGATGCCGCAATGTTGCGATGTTGCGATGTTGGGAGGCGACGTACCTCGTCGGATCACGCGAATCGGCTCTGCGACTGCGTGCGACACGAGAGCGGGTGCAAGGCGGTCGCAGCAGCGACAGAATCGTTGGGGCAAAGCTCGAGCAGGCCAAGCCAAGCCGAGGCCGACAAGGCGACGCGAAAGGGGGTTGGCGCTGACTGACTATGCCGCCTCCCTTCCCCTTTGCGATCTCGACGCGCCGCTGAGCCACGGGCGGTGCTGAGCAGGAAGGGGAGGGGGGCGCGCGCGGCCAAGGGAAGGGGATCAGGGGCCGAGGCGCGAGGCGCGAGTCGCGCGAAGCATGAGCTGTGACAATCAACCAAGACGGGTGGGATGCCTTGGGTTGGGGAGACGCGCGCTGAGCGGTGCTGAGCTGTGCTGAACCTGCTGTGCCTGTTGAGCTGCAACGGATGCACCGGCACCTGCACAATCTGGCGCCGCGTGTGGCTGGCTGGCTCGCTCCTGCTGTGCCCAACACTGCGCGCTGCCTGTCCGGCTGTTCCGCCATTCTTCGATCTGGGCTTCGCCGCCGCCGCCGCCGCCGCACCCCCACCGCGTGTGTGTGTGTGGGCCCACACGCGCTTCCGAGTCAGCCGCTGCGATCCGGGCTGAGCAGCCGCCTTCGCTTTCAGTTGTCGGGCTCCCCGCCCGTCTCGCCGCGCCTTCGTCGAAATCGACGGTTGCGTTGCTTTGCCGCCGCTGCTGCCTCCTTCCAGCTGGGATCGCCTCTTTCGCCTCGAGCTGGCGTGATCATCCATTCCGACGCCCCCTCCCTCTCCATTCTCCTCCTTCTCGCAGCTTGACGCTTCTCCTCCACCCTCCATCGCCACTCTTCCACCCACCACCGCCAGTCTCTCGGCTCCATCCCGTCGACTGCCAACGAAGCCGCCAACTGCATACACCCCAACCTCGCTCGACGACCCCTCCGGGGCCCCTGCTCTCGACTTCACTCGCGCTCTCGCTCTCTCCGCTGCCACATCCACCACGCAGCCAATCTCCGAGCTAGCCGACTCACCCCATCATCATCGCCTGGCCACATCGCCAACTCATAGCGCCATGTCCGTCGACACAGAGCCCCGCGCACCGCGCGCCAACACACAGTCCTCGCCCACCTTCCGCCAGACGGGCTTCTCGGTCCCCACCGTCTCGGCGCCCACCACCAACGACATCAACGCCGTCGCAGTCGCGCAGCAGGTGCTTTCGCCCAAGATGCGATCCTCCAACTCGAGCCTAAACGCGGCATTGCAAGCAAGGCCCAACGCCCTCTGTAAAGCCGCGCCGCACGATGACGGCGATTCGGACATGGCAGAGGCTGCCCCCCTGCCCCTCCAGATCCCCGGCTCCACTGCCAAGCTCGAGCCGGTCGCCATGGGCTCGCAAGTCTCTCGCTCGCCCAACGACGTGCCTACGCCTCCGGATGCGCCTTCCCTGGCGCCTCACAAGCCCTCGCACTCGCCCCACACCACATCCGTGCGCCTGCCTTCGCTGAGCGCCAGCATGCTCTCGCCACGCTACTCGACGCTCCAGGGCTCGAGCATCTCGAGCGGCCCCACATCCATCACCTCCAGCAACTGGTCGCCCTCCCGAAGCACCGACCCGCACCTCTACTCGATCTCCGCAGGCAGAAAGTACAGCTACGGCAGCTTCAACAAACCCGCGCTCAGCACCTCGTTCAAGACCTCGGCAATGCGCATGCGCGGCGATGCTGTCGACGACGACGAAGATGAGGAGGACGACAGCTTCGGCAAGCCCACCTCCCGATTCGCACGCGGATCCACCGCTGCCACAGACAGGGCAACCGCAGAACCCGGCATCGAGCTCGACGGCGACGAGGTGTTTGCCTTTTCCAGCCCTTGCTTCGGGCCCAAGGAGCTGCCAGACGACGGCGTCCCGTCTCCGGAACTCCACGAGGCCATCCCTCCTTCCCACAGCGCATCCTCCAACCCGAGTGCTATCCTCAGCCCAAGCTGGGCCACCGCTTCGCTCGGCAAGCTCTCGCTGGGCGGAAGCGAACACAAGGGCTCCCCAAGCTCGGCGAGTGCCCGCAGACCTTCGCGCTCCCACAACCATCACGGCGCCGGACCCCTGTCCTCGTCGGCAGACGTGGCCGCTGCTGCCATGAAGCAGAGGCGCTACTCGTACAACAAGCACGCGCGTCCCAACTTTGCCTCGCCCGGTCCCAGCAGCTACACCTACTCTTCCAGCTTTGGCAGGGACCATCCCTACGCGCGCACGCCCACTTCGACCAGCCTCACCTCGTCTCACCGCAAGGAAGCTCGCTCCAGGTCCAGGTCCAGGTACGGCGCCGACGACAGAGGCAGCCGATCCACCGCCGTCATGGACGACGACGAGACCGACGAGGAGATGCGCATGGACGATGACGATGCTACCGAGGACGAGGCCGACTACGCCTACGGCGGAAACTACAGCGCATCGTACCAGGCTCGCATGCGTCAGAGCCTCGCACACAAGGGTGACCCTACGCTCGGCAGCACCCCTTCGAGCTTTGGCGCCAACCCGTCCCAGGCCAGCCTCGGTCTCACCTTCCAGATGAGCCCCGGCAACCAGTCGATGCTCGCCAAAGGACACCCGCTCGACGCCAGCCGCTCGCCCGTCATGGCCAACTCCAACATCTCGGTCAGCCTCAGCCGTCAGTACAGCTCGGATCGACACGCAGCCGCGGCGGGTCTGGCTCCGTTGCGTCACCATCCCTACGCCACAAGCCCATCAGCCACATCGGGTCCGCTGAGCGCGTCCATGGGACTCGCCTACTCTCCTGGCTCCAACGCGCCGGTCAACCGACCTGCGCACAGGAGGGGAAGCAGCCTCGGCAACGGCCTTGCAGCGCCAGCCTATGCTGCTGGCGTGCTCTCGACTTCGCCCAGGTTCGCCAACGGCATGGCAGCTGGCCGCACCGGCGAGCGCGCGGATGAAAGCAACGGCGACCGTCTCAGCCAGTCTCCGTACGGTGTCAACTCGGGATCGCCGTACTCTGCGGGCGCTCGTGGGCTCAACGGATACTACGCCGCAGCCACGCAGAACGGCGCTTACAGCCAGTCGCCGCGCTACTCGCAGAGCTTTGGTACGCGCAAGGAGTCGAGCGGATACGCATCCACGCTGGCGGCGCACTTTGAGAAGCACGAGCGCTCGGACAGCATGGCGAGCGAAGCCACCGAGATCGGTGACCGATCGGCCGCTTCCAACGCCTCGCAGCAGCGCAGGGCGTCCAGCAAGACCGGCGGCGCGCGCTCGACGAGCAACACCGGCGCTTCGGGCAACACGGACGAGACGGCGCAGGTGGCGGCGATCCGCGACCGTCTGGGCGGCGCGGCGAGCTGCTCGGCGTTCATCTCGAAGCTGTGGCACCTCATGATCAACCCGCAGCAGTACAACAAGTACATCCGGTGGGACGAGGCGGGCAGCTCGATCATCCTGTCGAGCGAGCCGGACGTTGCCAACGAGTTTGCGTCGGACGTGCTGCCGCGGCTGTTCAAGCACGGCAACAACGCCAGCTTCATCCGCCAGCTCAACCTGTACGGCTTCCAGCGCATCCCGTCGTCGAGGCTGCTGGACGCGGCCGAGATGAAGGTGGCGGCAGCCAAGCGTGCCGAGCTGGGCGGTAGCGGCGGAGGCTCGACGCTCAACACGGCGGTGCAGCTGTACGGCGCGCACTCGAGCTTTGCCCATCCGCGCTTCCTGCGAGGTCGGGAGGAGCTGCTGCCCACGATGAAGCCGAGGTCAAGCAAGAAGCCCAAGAAGGCGGCCAACGGCGGCGCGGCCGATGCGACGCCGCGATCGCTCGACGCCGACGCGACGCTAGGTGGCGACGAGACCGACGAGGAGGACTTTGCCCTTTAAAGCAAGCTCACTTCGCCTCTCACTCCGCGCTCATACCCTCGGATGCCCGAGCACGGCTTGCGCCTCCTGACCTCATCGATTCGACGCCTCCAACGTGCGCCTGGTGCACAGTATATCCCCGCTATCTTCATTTGTCATTCTTGCCTGTTTCTGCATTTTGTCCTTTCTTCCCCCGTCCTGTCTATCGCTTTTGCATTCGTGTACACCTTTTGTTCGGCTCGGCTAGTGAATGTCAAGTCTCTATTCGCGCATGACTGGATGATGGTGAGGGGGACTTAGGAGAGCGGAGTGATTTGGGCGGCAGCTTTGCGCAGGAGGTCGTGTTTGGAGAGGCTTTTGTTGGCTGGATCCTTGGCGATGGGTTGCCAGGTTGTGCCGTGGCGGGGGTTGGCCTTTAGGAATGCGTCTAGGAGTTGGGAGATTTGGTCCTGGTTGGCTTGTTGCGATTCGAAGCGGTACCAGGCAGCCCAGGCGTCTGCGTTGTCTGGGTCGGCAGCTACTGCGCGGTGGAACCACTTTCTTGCCTGGGGGATCTTGCTTTCCAGCGCGAACTGTTGGGCTACGACGGTGAGTACCCGCGAATCGTCGGCGGTCTTTTTCAATGCATCGGCCATCTTTGTTTTGCGACCGGTGCGAGGTTCAAATGCAACCGCTAGCGCCCAGAGCTGTCCAGAGGAAGGGAGATCTTGGAGGGCACGGGAGAGGAGGGTGCGGGCTTGGGAATTGGAGCCGGCACGGTGTTCGACGGCGATGGATTCGGACCAGATCGCGGCCGAGGGGGCATGCATACGTGCCTTTTCGAGCAGTGCGCGCGCGCGGATCACCAACCCCGCTTCCTCCTCCAACCGACTCGCCAGAATCCAGAGCGGGATGGAGGTGGGACAGTTGCGTACGCCACGTGCGTAGTACTCGCGCGCATCACGAATGCCTTGCGCAGCATCCGTAGCCACGGTACGCTTGAGTTGGCCGCCCATCATGTACAGCTTATCGTGTTTGGGAAACTTGGCCACTGCAGCATCCACCAACTCCAGCGCACGTTGGGGCGAGCCGAAATCGCGCTCGAGCAGGGCGCTTTTCATCCACACGCGCGCCGTACCCACCTCGCTGCGAGCGCGCTCGAGCAGCTTACCCGCGGCGACCAGCTGGCCGCTATCCGCCTCGAGCTGGGCTGCAGCGAGCGAGATGCGTTCCGAACCAATGTTGGCGTCGAATGCACGGATGAGCACCCCCCTCGCGCCGGGGATATCTCCCGCCGTCGACTTTTCGCGCGCATATAGCAGCCACAACTCCTCGGCTTGCGCACAACTCGCCACCGCGCGTTCCAACAGCGCCTCGACTGCATCGCGTGTGCCGTGGGCCTGCTCGAGTGCAACGGCACTGAGCCAGATGGCAGGCCGGTCGGGAAACTCGCGCAGCGTATACGCCAGAATGCTGCGTGCCACTTGGACGCACCCGCGCTCGAGTGCCGATTGCGCCTCTTCCACCCACACCGCACGACGATCCTGCTCGTCCAGGTCCAGCTCGATGGTCGCCTTGACGATCGCCGCACACGTGAGTGGGCTGCCGTCGTTCTCGACGCTTTCGGCCTCCTGGAACCACTGCTCGCGCGACAGCTGCACCCCCGCCTTCTTGAGCGCCTTGACCGCCGCAGCCACCGTCTTGTCCACCTTACCCTCGTCGCCCTCGGTCTCCTCGAGCAGGCGCGCTGCAGCGATCCAGATCTCGTGCGACGTGGGGATCGTCTTGCGCGCCTCGTTGAGCACCTTCTTCGCATCGTTTGGCGGCGACAACCGCGCCAGCGCCAGCCACAGCTCGATGCTCATCGGCACCGCGGCCACCGCCCCGCTGAGCAGGATGCGTGCATCCTCCGGATTCTCCTCGAGATTCACGAGCTCCTTCCAGAGCTTGACGCTGTGCGGGATGTATTCGAGCGACTTGCGCAGCACGCGCTTCTTGCTCTCTGGATCCGACTCGAGCTCGACCGCCTTGAGCCAGATGTTGACCGAGGTCGAGACGTGCTGGATGGAGCGCGCCAGGATGACCTTGGCATTGTCGGTGGTGTTGAGGCGTGCGGCTTCGAGCCAGATATCCTCGGAGCGCGGGCAATGCTCACAGCCCTGGCTGATGATCTTGCGTGCGCTCGACATCTTGCCCGCGACTTCCTCGACACGCGCCGCAGCGATCCAGCCGGGCGCGTGGCGTGGGTTGGTCTTGATGACCGAGTCGAGCAGCGTGCGAGCCTTGGCGATGTCGCCGATCTCGGCGTCGGTCTTGATCACGCTCGACGAGAGCTCGGTGAGGTAGCCCTTTGGATCGATCGATGTCGCCGTGCCCGACAGCGCGCTGCTGGACGAGGAAGAGGCCTGATCGAGCTGGTGGCTGAAGATCTTGTTGCGCGCCTCGCCGATCTCGGCGAGCGAGGCGATGCCGTCGGCGGTGTTCATCTGGTCCTGCGTGAGCGCCGACTCGACGGCATTGCGGTCGCGATTGGCCACGAGGATGGTGTCCGAGATGGCGAACGAGCGCGTATTGCGCGCCTCGCGCTTAGCAGCTGCCTTGCGCCGCTTGCCCGTCGCGCTGCCCGGATCAGCCAGCGCAGCCCACTCGTCCTCGGTGACGCTGCTGAGCCCGCGCTTGAGATCGGCGAATTGCGCCTGCACCTGGGGCTTGTCGGCACGCGCACGTTCGCGCTCCTCGCGATCCCGTGCGTCGCGGAACTTGCGCCTGCGCTGGTCCATCTTTGCGTCGACGGCTTCCCAGATGCGGTCGGCCTCCTCGTCGTCCTTCTCGTACACGGCGCCTGCGAACAGCCCCGTCTCGTTCTCGGGGTCCTGGAAGCGGCCTTCGTCGTCGTCGCCACCGTCATCGTCTGCTGCGCCGTCGTCGGCGTCGTCGTCGCCTTTCGGTGCGGATGGACCGCCGGTGGTGGGTGCGGCAGGCAAACGTGCGGGACCAATGTCGGCTCGCGTGGTGAAGCCCGAGGCGCCACGACCCAGACCAGCAACGTAGCCGGCAGGCGCCTGCATCGACAGGAACGCCAGCTTGTTCGGCTTGTCCGCCATGGTGGGCCACTGTCGCGCGCTGGTGTGCGGAACACGGGCGGATGGAAGAGTGCGCGCAGTAGCGAGAGAAAGTTGGTGGTGTAAGAAGAAGAAGCGCATTTGCACCGGCGATACTCCACTTGCGCGCCCAGTCTGGAAATTTCGAGGCAAACTGCTCAGGGTCCAACTCGACCAACACACACGCAGGACAGGTTCACAACGAGCAAGTGCATGGCAGTGCGGCCACGGTGAAGAACAAATGCAGAAAGTTGATATAGTACAGATGCGATGCTGATGGAGTCAATCACGGACACGAGGGCAGGCTTGCAGGCGCCCGTGTGGGGTCGATTCATTGATCTTCGATGGGGCCGTCGAGCAGCCGAATACTGTTGGACAAGAGCAAAACGGGGGTCAATGTTCTATCGGTGGCACATCCAATGCCTTCGGTCTAAGTCATCCTGGGACTTGCACTCACAGGAAGCGCGGCGTGGCCAGTAGGTTTCTGCCTCCAGACCTGAACTCGCGCGGCCATACATCGACGAGGAAGTAGTCTGTTGCAGAAGCAGCGCCCAGGTCAGCTCCATAGCCTTCTCAGCCAGACTCTGGCCGGTCGAGTACGATGTACTTACACAGATGGCCGACAAAGATGCCACTGATATCGCCCACGACGGCGCGCAGACTGCCGTGCAGGAGCCATCCAAAGATGACCAGGCTCCACGGCAGGTACGGCGCAGTTACGACGAGGAGGCCGAACAAGCTGAGCCGAACGTGCCTGTTGCGTCGGGACCAGATATAGACGAGCACGAACGCCAGTGGCGATCCCAAAAACGGTTGTGCCGTCAGCGGTGACAAGATGAGAAGGCACGTGGCGGCGAAGAGGAGGAGCACCACGTACGCCGCCCTTCCGCCGGAGCGTCCGCCGAACGAGTTCTCCTCGAGCATGCGCGAGTAGCGCATGAAGAAGAAGAGGTGAAAGATAAAGTCGAGACCGAGCGGGCCAAAGTAGAGGAACGTGGTGAGCAGGCGCCACACCTGGTACTTGCGAAACACGAGCGCCGGCGTGTAGAAGAGCTGGAACGACGACACGAGGTGCGTGTGTTCGAGCAGCGCCACGCCGAGCGTGAGTGCGGCCCATGCGCCCGTGATGGGCGGAATGGATTCCAGATCCATGGCGATACCCAGCGTGCGCCCTGCGGAGGTTGGTGGTGGTGCTGGTGGTGGTGAGCGGCCCGACAGCAGCTTCGGCAGTGAAGTGCTCGGACGACGTGGAGGGTGCTAGCCCGATTTGGGGATGCGATCGGGTTCCGCGGAGGTTGTTCACGCGATTCGCCGCGAATGAGCGGTAACCGGCAGACTCCAACTTCCGGGCTGGACCTAGCTGATGGGCGAAAAAGCGCCGCTGCCGCGCACGGCTCGCCGGTAGCCGAACGGAGCTTTCTCTCCACATTTTGGCGCGGCCATGCTCGAAGCGGGCTGGGACGTATGGGACCGCTTTAAGCTCGTCCCGCATCCGCATTCCGCAACCTTGACTTGCCTCTTGATCACCATCATCCAGAACTCAACCACAAGACAGGCTCGTACTCGAAGTTTCCACCATGTCGGCCACTGTGAATCCGTTCAACCTCAGGAAGCAGCTCGCCTTCTACGGCGCCTACCACACCAACCCGGTCAACGTAGGCATCCACATCCTCGGCGTGCCCAGCATCATCTTGTAAGTCGAGCATCCGTCGCTCTTCCATGTCGCCAGTCCAATTTGAGCTACGTTCGCACGATGCTGACCTCGTATGCTCGTCTTTGGACGCAACAGTGCAACGTCGGCGCTGCTGGCCAAGCAGGGCACCATCTTCCCGTACGTGCAGGACCACTTCCCACTGGCGGCAGCATACCTCTCGCAGGCAGGTTCGCAGCTCGCAGCTGTGCTTCCCGCCAAGGTGTTTGAGTATGCGCAGCTCAACCTGGCTGCCGTCTTCATGGGCAGTTACTGGCTGTACTACAGCGTGCTCGACACCACGGCTGCGCTGCTGCTCGCGCCCATCTGGTATGCGCTGTGGTACGGATCCACGGTGCTCGCACGTACGCGCCCGGACGCCACCAAGATCGCCGTCGGCATCAAGGCGTTCGGCTGGATCAGCCAGTTCTACGGACACGGCGTGCACGAGGGGCGTGCGCCGGCACTGCTCGACAACCTGCTGGGTGCCGTGGTGCTCGCACCGTTCTTTGTGTTTTTGGAGGTCATCTTCCACTTTGGATACCGCCCGCAGCTCCAGAAGGAGCTCAAGAACGACGTAGGCGTGCTCGTCACCAGGTTCCGCACCGAAAAGGCCAAGGCAAAGAGGGGAAAGGCCAACTGAGCGGTCGTCTCGGCGTCGAGGCTGGCGCGGCTTTGCTCGTGTCGCCACGGCATTCCGTCTGAGCCCACTGATACCTGTATTCAGTAGCGTCACGCTCCGTGTTCCAACGTTCGGAGGATGTAATGCTCACCTACTGTACTGCTCTGCTGCCTGCATGTAGCCTGAGATGGTGTCGGAAGGAGATCCGATAGTGCGGCTTCGGCTCAGACCGACAGAGAGCCATGTGAAGATACGGTATCGTTGCCTGCAGAGGAAGAAAGATGCAGACACGGGAGTATCAGCTCCCGCTCCGCGAGGCACAATGAAGTGAGGGAGCGGAAGCTTCTTTTTCCCAGGTGCAGCCTTTATGCAGGTGCAGCGAGGGTGGGGTTTCGCGTGGGGCGGCGCCGGTGAGAATTGTGTTACTTTCAAAGCTCGAGTTGCTTTCTTCCGTTGCCGTTCTTTCTACCCCTCGTCTTCCCAACACTACTGCGTTGCTCTGAAGGCCCAACGGGAGCTGCTTTGCGCGATTCCCACGGCGTCAGGCTCTCGGCATCGGCCGTTCCGACGAGCGACGCCCGTCGAGTGAGCCTCGCGCGAGTCACCAGCATCTCGGAAGGGCCCGACGGTTGTGCTTTGCGAGATCACGATGGAGGAGTCGAGCGACACCGCACCGCGACGGCGAAAGTCGCTGAGCCAATCCATCCGCGCGCGACTATCCAGACCCATCTCTCGCGACAGCACATATAACCACCCGCCGCCTCCGCTGCCGCCTCTGCCCATCTCGCGCGCTCGGTCGGCGGACAGCATCTTTGGGCGCACACCAAACCCAGCCTCTTCTGCACCCATCAGCATGGCGGACCTCGACACGGCGTGGTCTTCCATCGCCCCGCCTGCGTTTCCTGTGCCGCTGCAGTATGCAGCATGCTATTGCGAGGAGAACGTGTACGTGCTCGCGCAGCATCTCGCCTCACAGCTCACTCGCGCCAACCGCGCCGCGATCAACATCGCGCAGAGCCAGAAGCAGCCCGCGCCGGGGCAGGCACTGTTTGTGCCCGTGTGGGACGTGCATGTGCTCTTCATCAGCAATGCGGGCAAGACAGTGCTGCTGTACCAGCAGGCGGCGTCAAAGCTGCCCAGTGCCGGATCGCCCGTCATTTGGGACTACCACGTCGTGGCCGCCGTCACCGCACACCTCGTCCCACTGCATCAGCTCGCAGTGCAGTCAGACGCAACAATCGCTAGGCCGCCTGTGTTCGGCGACGGGGATGGCTGGAGCAGGACGTGGATTTACGATCCAGACTCGCGCCTCGCTAGGACCGCAGTCACCGCAGAGGGCGGCGAGCTGCTCAGACCAGTACCGAAGCACGAGTACGATGACCAGACGTTCCGGCCCGGCGATATCGCAGCGGGCGTGATACCGCCTCATTTCCAGCCGGCCTTCCGATACATTGCAGCCAACGACTTTCTCGCACGCTTCGCAAGCGATCGCAGCCACATGCTTCAAGACGGTCCGGCAGGGAGCGGTGGAAAGGTATGGAGCGCCCCGCCTCCCGCGTGGGATCCTATCGTAGGTGCCAAGGCCGACAAATTGGGCGTGTCGAATAACCTCATGCGGTGGTACGTTGATATGGCGGCGTCCGAGGCTGGGTTCGGCACTGTCGTGGATGCAGGCACCTGGTTGGGCTGCCAGAGTATCCTTGGCTCTTCACTGGGTGCCACGATCAGGGACGCGCTTGCAGTCGAAGCTGCCAGCTCCACCCAGCGAGCATTGCCAGTATTATCAGCGAGGGACTCACGCTGGCTAGCCCCACCATCGACTGCACGCCCAGCAGCAGCAAAAGGGGATGCGTCCAACGGAGCGGCGAGGGGAGGCAGGATCGCGTCGCCGCTCTTCCCGGCCTACCTGCACGCTTCGCAGCAACACCGCTCGCGTCCGCCACCACCGCCTCCCACACACTGAACTTCACATCATACCCAACAATCCTCCCAACTCTTGCGTCTGCTCGAATGTGTATAAAATGGATTTGGCTGAGGTGCTCATCTATGCTGCTGGCTTTTTCTTGCGCTTGACGCTGAGCATGTTAGCCGGTGCCGATGCGGACTTTGCTCCGTCGCCTGCATTTGCATCTTGCTTTGCCTTTTCCATCTGGGCGTCCGTTGGTGCGACGAGCTGAAAGTCTTGCCAGATGACGCCCTGGCCGATCAAGCCGTCGTCCTTGGGGTCGTGTCCGAGGTGTTGGGCCACACCACCTTTGCGGCGAACCTCCTTGTCGACGGCCTGGAACCAGGCTTGGGTGAGTTGGCGTGCGTGGGTGATCTTGTTCCACTCGCACGTGTCCTTCATGAGCGACTTGAACACCACATCGCCCAGCACCTTGTAGGGGATCGATAGCGGTTGTCGTTCCGGCGTCTTGGCTGCACTGTCGGCAGAAGGATGACGCGTGAAGAGGATCACGAGGACTCCGACCGCGTTGCCGGCACAGCATTCTTGGCGAAACGCCATGCGCTCCCAGAACTCGTCGACGGGTAAGTCGTCCATAAGCTCGCGCTCGCGCATCAGCGCACGCAGCGTAACCAGAGGCACTCCACTTCCCCCCGTCGACCCCCCAGCCTCGCTGCTCTCTTCCGTCTT